ATATGTTTTAGTGTCTTCGTTTTCGCTGTGAGTTGCACTGGGAGTGGTAGACTGGAATTAACTTGGCGGGATTCCAATAACATATTTTTGGGATTATAAATATAGATTTCTTGGACCAAGATGAGAACCAGGAGGGGATTCCTACAAGAACACCAAGGCTGTGGCTGTGCCTTATCAGAACCAGAAAATGCAAAAGTAGCTTCTATCTCAAGTCCCAGAGGTTGTCTGAGAACAGCCAACCAAAGAGAAAAAGGCAGCAACAGCAGCCTTATGCTCCTGGCAATGAAAAACCCACACCTCTACCTCTCTGACTCATGGAACCTGTGACCAACAATGCTCTGACTGAGTGGAAGAGACGCCTGTCCTGTAAAACTTGCAAGGCTGCTGATACTGCCAGGCCCCTCCTAAATCCCAGCATCACTAGCCCTATCCTCCCCATGTCTGTGGCAGACATGCACCTTTGAGCTGACCCGAAGGGGGCATATATGAGCACTTTCTGGGTAACAAGGCCTGGACATAGGAAAAAGATGGCGAACTTTCTCGAGACGAGTGCTCAAACTGCAACCTCACACTCACTTTGCCAACACTAAAATTACACATGAATGCTGAGGTTTTGGTTTAGAAAAAACAATTCATACATTAACATCTTTTGTTCTGAAAACATGCATACCATAGGTTTACCACCACTGACCTAGGGGTCTTGTAAGGTACACAAGCCTGTGGAAGGTCTATGCTGTAGGCAAAATTGTCAGTGGGAGCAGGGTATGGACACTTTTGGCTTTCATTTTTCAATACAGCCCATAATTCTTATATTAAGCATAAAGTTATTATTATTATTTTTTGTGTGTGTGTGTGTGGAACCGGGGATTGAACTCAGGCCCTTGCACTTGCCAGAGAAGTGTTTATTCTACTGAGCCAACTCCCTGGCCCCATAAAGTTATTTTAAATAGCCTAGAAAACCCCTGTAAACGCCTGATGCACTTCCTCACCTGCAGCACACGTCTCTGCTCCCGGACTGTCCAGGGCAAGTGTAGCAGAAAGCACATCAGGCACTCCCAGTCTGAGTACACCCCGCCAGCCTCTGCTGCTCCAAGGCCAGCCAAGTCAACTCTAATCACTATCAAATGCCAGGGACAGAAAGTCTGCATCGCCTTCCAATGCCTGCAGTCCTATTCCTGTCACTACTCTGAGCACTTGATGACTGCCCACCACCTATTGTTCCCTCACTGTTTCATATATGTCTGTCTGCTTTCCAAAGGACAGAAGCCCAGAAGCCTGCAAATGGCAAGACCTACACATCCTTTGTGTCTCTGAAGCGTCAGAACCAAGTCCCAGAATACAGCTGGTGCTTAGTCACCACTGATCACGTGTGGCGTCATGACGTGAGGCCCATAGGCTCTGGCATTCAAGACAGCAGAGCTGCACACCCAAGTCTCCCACAGGCAGGCAGCCTTTGGCCAACTTAGAACTTCTGAGGTTACTTAACACCTGCCTAAGCCTAAGGTTTTTTTTAAAAAGAAAAATGGGTTTTTCTTTTTTAAAAATGGGTTAAATGTAAGACCGACACCATGTGTTCCTGAGTTTGGGGCACAGGAGCCTGCAGCAGGGGTGGTTCCCACAGCAGGGAAGGCATGCTCACCTGAGTTCCTCTGGGCACAGTACAGACTCTCCTTGGCTGCAGACTTCACTGACCAGCTCCGTTCCATGAAAAACTTCTGGCCCAGCGGGTGGCAGAGCCAGCGCAGAGAATCTGGGACAGCACTGTGCTCGGGCCCACACAGGCTCTGAGCGCGACTGAGGAAGTAGTTCTGTGGAAGAATGAGGACCACATGTGACACCAAGGTGGCAGAATACTGGCTGCAGCCACTGTGGGGTCCTCAGAAAGCATCAGGGGGGCTGGTGAGATGGCTCAGTGGTCTAAAGCACCTACTTGGAACAAGCTTAGCAAAACACATGGACCGCGGTTCAATCCCCCAGCACCACATGCCAGCCAGCCCCGCCCCCTGGTGGGCTGAGCTGGCCACACACACACACAAATAAATAAAATTAAAAAAAAAAAAAAAAGAAAGCATCAGGATAGAGGTTGGCTGGGGGACAGAGGCTGGGGCAACGGGATCAACAGAGAACAGGCCCTGCCCTGAATCCTACACAGAAACATGGGCAAGTGGCTTTTTTTCTGGGGCACCTGCTACTCCTGGCAATCAGGTTCCAATTCCAGGGCCTGGGAAGGAAGAGTGGCCCAAGGCCCACACGGGCCCTGCTGCATCCCACCCCACGGGCCTGCCCCTTCCAGAACCCAGTTCCTGCTTGCCTGTCAGCACTCAAGCTGCAAGCAAGGTGAGCTGTCTGCCAAGGAGGGAGTCTCAGCAGTGCTCACACTTCCCCTACACGCTATGAGCACCAAGTTCCTCAAATCCTGGGCCTTTTCTCGTGCCACTCTTATTACTTGTCCTTTAAGGTATTTTCAGGCAAAACTGTATTTTGCTTTGACTAATCCTCCATCTTTTTCACCTTTGAGTAGAAAGAATTTAAAAGAGGGCCCAGCACAGAGCCAGCTGTCACTGTCACACCAGACAGCACTGGAACAGAGGGACAGCTCCTCCAGGGCCCCTCCCTTATACGGGGGTGACACACATCCACAGCAGGCTTTGGGAGCTCTTGGCTGCCTTCCAAAGCACCAGAGCTCTCCTCTCCACACCCTCCTGCACCACCAGGATAACATCATCTCAGGGCCCAGGGGCAAGGACTGCAGAGACAATGTTGTCTGTCGCATGTTTTCAGAAGTTCTGTCATTTTGAGTGAGGATATCCTTCCTCTAAAATCCATGTCTGACCCGTAAAGCTCCTTGACACAGGCTAATCGAAGAGGGAGCTGAGTGGAGAAGGATGAAGAGAGTGGGTCTCAGACAGAGCTCTCGAAGCGTGGGGAAGGGGCTGTGGGGCCCCAGGCAGACACCCCCTTCCACTCTGAGCGCTGCCTGCAATAGGGCAGCCATCCCACGGCTGCATCAGCCTCTTGGTTCTGACCTTTATTGGGCTCTACGCAGCTACCAGCTAATGTAACCGCTTCAGAAGACTGGAATGCCAGGGTCAGAAATAGCACGGCCACGGTGCACCAGGAAAGGACACAGACAGGAGACAGCCTCTCGCCAGGGGACGTGGCAACAGCTTCCTGAATCTGAGCAAAGTGATCTGGCCAAATGCTCTACACACACACACACACACACACACACACACACACACACACACAGAGGAATGGCAGCCAGGGGACAATGGGAGTATTTCACTTAAATTTCTCATCACAGGGCCAGTGACACTAGCTTGACCTGAACCGTGACCTGCAATGCTAAGGAAGAGGCAGGGGTGGGTAAAGAGGGAGTATGAGGAGTTGGGGTGCGAACTCAGGGCTTCTCGTTTCCCAGAGGCCTTGTAACAATGACCCCAGTGCTCCCTAGCCTGATCAGCAAGCGAGCTCCAGGGGGAACTGAGGACCAGCCGAAGGATCCAAATATCAGACAGAGTTAGAAACAAAGCTTGGCTATGAAGAGGAACCCATAGATGCCATTTAGGAAATTGTTAAATTAAAATATGCTTTTATGCTAAATTCTTAAACATTTCAGTTATATAACTGATCTCAGGGAGTGAGGGGAGCTTGAGGTAAGTGGTTTGAACTAATAAGAAATATAAATCTGGGATAGGCAGCACCATACTCTGGCTTTTGTAAGGGAAATTGAGAAAATAACTTCAGTTGCTCTTTTAATTTTCTTGGCATTATAGTCCTATGATAATTTTTCTTTTTTAATTTTTCTAAATTTATAAACAGCATTGTTCTCTCAGGCTAGGGCCAGACCGCCTCTGTAACCCGCCTGTGAACTACCTCATGCGAGAGGCCATGGCAGAAGCCACGGGCCGCCCAGGAGCATGGGCCAGTCCCAGTTCCAGCTTGCGTCCCCCACTGGCTAATGCTACAGTTCTCAGGCTGTACCGAGAAGCAGCATCTGTGCGTCCTGAGAAAGTGCACAGAAAGGGGCAGTCACCTGGAAGACTGCAGCTTTTCTTCTCCATTTCACTGCCTACAAAAATTAGGTCGTACCACTACAGTTGTGAATCCTTACATCCTTTGACCCTGTTATCACCTTCTCCAGATTGACCCTAAGGAAGTTCTCACAGAGGTGTGTGAAGACAATGTACAGAGACGTTCATGCAGCAGTTTGAAATAGCAAAAGCCATAAATGCCTCCAATGTCCCTCAGCTGAATAAGCAGGACTATAAAGAAAGACACCTAAGATTTACTAGTAGGATGAAAAAAGTGAATGGCAAAACAGGGTTTGTTCCGGGCACAGGGTCACACACCTGTAGTCCCAGCACTTGGGAAACTGAGGCAGGAGCGTTCCTGTGAGTTTGAGGCCACCCTAGGCTACATAGTAAGTTTAAGACTAGCCTGAACTACATGTATTGTAAGACCCTGGCTCAAAAGACCAAAAAACAAAGCAAAGCAAAACAAAAACAAGGTTTATGGTACAATCACATGAAGCAAATGACAATGTATGTATGTTAGTGTATGCAGAAAAATTTCTGAGGAAATATACATGAAGATATAAAATTAAATTAATCTCTGCTCTGTCAGGCCTACAGAATTTATTTTTTGTGGGGGTTCATGGGCAGGGGTAATTTTTTTTATGACAGGGTCTTACTATACGGCCTTAGTCTTTTTTTTTCATTTATGTATTTGGTATAGGGTCTCACAACACAGTTCAGACTTGCAGTGATCCTCCTCCTGTTTTCGGCCTCCCCAGCGCTGGGATTACAGGCATGCGCCACCATGCATTTGCAGGCTCAGCACGCCTGGGGGCCGGCACTGCACGGTATGTGAGACAGGGAATCAAACCCTGGTCCCTGCGCTTGCCAAAGCAGGCACTTAGTCCCCTGAGGTATCTCGCCGGTCAGACTTCAGCCTCTTGAGTAGCTGGGACCATAGGCCTGTGCCACTGCACGGGACTGTTTCCTCATCCTCAGCTGCCACACAAGTGCTTGCTTCAAATGGTCTGAGTCCTTTTAAATCCAGTTGCGTCTTAGCAATAAGCACAACTGAAATCCCAGAGGGAATTTTAGGATGACAAAATGCTCCTCAAAAAACATGGCAAGGTGAAGAGCAAACAGCCGTAGAATGGGAGGGTCCACCAAGGCAGATGGCAGAGCAGCAGCTGTGTGCAGTGGACAGACTGGGGGCCAGGAGACCTGCCACACAGACACCAAATTCACAAAAGAGGCTCACTCTGTGCACTGGGGGAAGGAAAGTTTCAAAATTAGCAAGCACCAGTCAGGAACATGATCACATGGAGCAGGAGATCAATTCTGAACCCCTATCTCCATCTAATAAAAAATCCCAGTGAGGGCCCACGAGATAGCTCAGTGGACCGATCACCTACTTAAGCAAGCTCTGGCACTGGGATTGCATCCCCCTGCACCACAGCAGCTCAGGCCCCGCCCCGGGGCACACTGAGCCAGCCAATGAGACCAGGTGTAGCGGTGCACCCCTGTAACCCCAGTGCTGGCGAGGCTGAAGACAGTAGGCTCACTACGAGTCAGATCTGTGAACGGAGACCCTGTACCAAATACATACACACATACATACATACATACATACATACATAAAACAAAACATCCCAATGGGTGGTGCATCTGTACGCGAAGTGCAAGAAAGACTGCTTGTAGCAGACAACATGGGAGAATTGTCTTCATAGCTTGCAGGCAGGGCAAACATTTGTTAAAGTGGACCCAAAATGTCTACTTACAAAAGAAGACAATCTTCGACTGGGGAGATAGCTCAGTAGCCACCTGCCTGGCAAGCACAGGGTCCTGAGTTCAACCCCAGTACCACAAAAAAACAAACAAACAAACAAACCAAAAAAAAACAAAAAACAAAAAACAAAAAACAAACAAAAAATAAATAAATAAAAAACCCGATAATCTGGATTTCATTAAAATCAGGAACTTTGGCTGGGGAGATAGCTCAGTGGAATAAGTGCTTTCCTGGCAAGCACAAGGTCAGAGATCAATCCCTGGTACCACCAAAAAAAGAAAGAAAGAAAAAATCAGGAACTTTTAGACAAGATATCATTTCTGCATCTTGTACTATGAATAACTACTACAAAGACAACAATAAGCAATGTATTAGTTATTTTTTTTTTGTTTTGTTTTTTGTATTAGTTATTGTAACTGTACTACTAACCTGTTTTGAAACTATCTAATTGTTACTTCTTTCTCAATAAAATTATCTTTTTTTTTTTTTTTTTTTTTTTGTGGAATCAGGGATAGAACTCAGGCCCTTGTACTTGCTAGGGAAGCGCTTATTCTCTACTGAGCCATTTCCCCAGCCAAAGTTATTAAAATAAAATTATTAAAATAAATAAAATAAAATCAGGAACTTGTGTGTATCAAAAGTTTACTCCGCACACAGGGGGAGATACAGTTTCAAAATTAGCAGGCGCTGGTCAGGAAAATGGCCACATGGAGCAGGAGATCAATTCTGAAGCCTTATCTCCATTTAATAAAAAATCCCAGTGAGGGCCCTCGAGATGGCTCAGTGGACTAAGCGCTCTCATTACCTGGGCGTGACAGCACACATTTATAATGGTGCACTCCAGGACCCAGGCAAAGAGGCCTGCCATGAGTCAGAGGACAGCGTGGACTATGGAGAGAGCCCAAGGGCATCCTGAACTACATAGCAAGACCCAGTCTCAAACAAACAGTCCAAACCAGGCCTAATATAATCTCAGCACTGTGAAGGCTGAGGCAGGAGGACCACAGTTCAAGTCAACTACAGGAAACACAGAGAGATCATCTCACAACAATACATCATCCCATAGAGATCATCTCAAGGCAACCCAGTCTAATCTCCACTTTGAGAGGGACAGGGGTAGGCACAGGGAGAATGACTATGAATTGGTAAAATATAAATACAACAGGATCAGAGGAGAGTAAGTCACTCTTAAGGACAGACACCAGGCTGGGAAAGCATTTTCCTTTGGCATGTGATGTAATTGCATTTGGTGATACAAGCCAGCCTAATACATGACACGGAACCAAAGAAGCAGCACCGAACAGTAATGCTGTTCAACTCCCCTGACAAAGTTTAATTAGTGACCAAACATGAGAGACCAGGACGCTGGTTACTGTGGCTGGCGGACTCAGGGAGGGCAATTTAATGGCTGTAAGGGGGGAACTACCCGCTCGGGGCCCCTCTCCTGTCCCTCTCTCGGACAGGAGCTTTCTTTCCCTCAATAAATGTATTCTGCTCAAAAAAAAAAAAAAAAAAAAAAAAAAAATAATAATAATAATAATAATAATGGCTGCAAGGAGGCCCCTAGAAGGCTTCTGAGATCTTAATTCTGTTTCTTTTTTCCTCAGGAATTGGGATTGAAACCCAAGAGTACAAAGCTACATATATCTCCAGCCCCTCATAGTTTATTTTGATATAGGGTCTCACTAAATTGCCTGATGAAGCCCTTGAACTTGCCATCTTCCCGCTTCAGTCTCAAAAGTGTGCACCACCACACCACCTGGCTTGGTCTGTTTCTGGATCTGTCTGCTAGTTAGACTGTTTTGACGAATCAATAACCTACACATTACACGTGTACTTTTCTATGGTCATATTATTACCTGTAAAACAGTGGTGGAAACTTTTTTTTTTTAGCCTTTTTAAGGCAAGGTCTTACTATTCAGTTTAGCCTGGTCTCGAGCTCACTATATATAGCCCACGCTGGCTTCATACTTGCAATGGTCCTCCTGCCTCAGCCTCCTGGGTGTTGAGATTACAGGTGTGTGGAACCACATCCAGCTTAAGAATCATAGAAACTGGCTGGATGTGGCAGTACATGCCTGTAATCTTAGCTACACGGGGAGTAGGGAGGAGGGGACTGAAGCCAGCTTCTGGGGCTGCTGAAAACATTCTCCTTTTTGGGCTGGGTGGTTGTTACAAGGGTGACTTCCTTCTGTGCATCTCCTTGTGCTCTTTGTCACCTAGACTATGAGACGAACTTTAGGAAACCTACACATCAGTATCAGCACAGGGCACACTCCTATTCATTCTCAGCTGAGCACCTCTACTACCTACATACAGAAACAAACGAGATGCAATCATTGCACTTGGAAGATACCTGAAGTATCTCCCCGAAGCAGGGCTCTGAGTAAAACACGCCCGTATCTGCCAGAGCAGGGGAAGGCCTGGGGTCAGCAGATGCTGTGAATCTGCTGATAACAAGCTAGGAATTAGCCAGCTATGAATGCCCAAGGCTGGCACCTCACCAGGTATACTGGAGGCACTTGATAACTTCAGTTTCCTGCCCCAGGTCTGACCTGAGCTCCTCGCAGATGGACACTGATTTTCATATCTAGACCCACAGAGCTATGATCAACACAAGGTGCCTAACAGTAGAAACAGAAGATTCCGATTGAAAAGTCAGATAGTAACTCCCAAGTAGAATCAGGCAGTATCTTTGAACCAGTCTTACTACAGACTGTCAGGAGGTCCTGCTTGCAAAGTTTATGTCCGTCAGGGCCAGGGGGGTAGGGATCATGGTTGATTTCATTCACTGCTTGAGGGACTGGAGTGGGGAGGAATGCCCAGGCCAGGGACCTCCACCATCTTAGCTCCTGGCTGGGGTGGGCATGCAGCGCAGGCCTGTGGAAAGAATGACACCAAAGGGTACTCACGGCCAAAAAGCCCAGCCTGCCTCCACACCGGGTCTTGAGCCCCATGGCGGCTGTCAGATGGATCTCCACCAGCGTGCTTGGCGGGATCTTCTCCTCAGCACACTCCGCCAGGTTCACGGCACACAGAGCCATATGCATATCTGAGCACGGGGACCCTGCAGGGAGCTTTCCTAGGGCAGGAAGAAATAGACATTGATGTGGACAGATCCCTCAAAGCAAGCGTTTCTGTCTTCTCTAGTGCTTTCAGAGTGTGTGTGTGTGGGGGGGGGGGGGGTACCAGGGGAGCAAGGAAGTGAGGTTCATCCTCAAACAGGCCTCCATCTAACATCAGGCTCTGCCCACCTGCCAGCTGTGTGCTTCTTCCCAGAGTGGGTGGAGACACAGCACTTGGCTGTCATAATTGTTGTATAGGACTCAGAGATGTACAGTGCAACATTTCCTACAATGCAGTCAGTCAACAGCAAGGCCACATTCCCTGACACAGTACTGAGTTAATATGTTAACGGAGGTAATGAGAAGAAATTAAAAGAACAAAGCAAAAACGAAAGCAAATTTGAATTTGATTTTGAAAAAAAGCTTCCCCACAATAAGCTGGATGTAGCTGTCCCAAGGCTTTCATAAAGTCATTAGCTTTGGGCCTCACTCCAGGGGCAGGAGGTGGCAATGTCAGGTGTCCCAACCTCACTCGGTTGTGTGCTCCTTCAGCTGGGCCCCAGTTACTCTGCACGGGCCAGAGGATGGGAGGCCGAGTGCAGTGCAGAGCGCATGCTGCAGTCACCTCTGTGCCCTCGGATCTGCTAATGAGCCGTGGCCCAGAGAACGCACAGCTGATGTGAAAGGGACGAGTGACACGAAGCTTCCCCACTGGAATTCTCTACAGAACTTGTCAGCTAGGAGGACACAGTCTCCTGATTCCAGACCTGTGTCGGGCTTGTCTGTTCCAAGGCCACCCAGAGGTACAGAATTGTAGTGAGGGACCTACGGAAACTCTTCCGTTAAAACCACAGTTGGCCCACTGTCTCTTCTCTGGGTCACTCTTCCGTCTGGGGTGCTTGAATCCACTCAACTTCTGGATGGAAAGTTCTGAAGCAACAAGGGATTTCGAACACTTTCCTGAAAACATGTCCCAGTACGTCCTGGCTACCGGCTACTGCCCTGCCTTGCTCCCCTAACACAGTGCTGCTCAACTCCCCTCTGGCCCCTCTCTCACCAGTGTAAAGGACAGGTAGTATCCACCCTGAACCCCAGCGCTCTGCCTGTCCTTACATGGGGTACTTTCTAGGGATCTGTTTTCATGAGCTCCTGAGGTTTTTAGTCTTCCCTGTAGGCCCAAAACCTGTTTTCTGGCCTAGCTGCCTACAGAATACCTCCCATCTATGTTGCCCGGGCAAGCATCCAAAACAGGAGCAACACCTTTCCCCAGGAAAACTGCTCTTCCTTGGGTTTCCTTCATCTCTCTGGGTGGTACCACTATTCTCCTAAACCAAGGAGGGCCAGGCATGAACGCTCACTCCTGTAATTCTAGCTCTCGGGTGGCTCAGACAGCAGGACTACCGCAAGTTCAAGGCTAGCCTAGGCTACACAGTCAGTTCAGGTCCATCCTGAATCATCTCTGTCTCAAAAAACAGCACAATACAAGCTAAGGAAGCATCTTAGCTGGTTCCCTGTCTTATCCATCACCTCCCATGAGTCTCCAAGTCCAGCCAATTTCACCTGCTAATTTTCTCTCCATGTGCCCCTTTCAGCATCTCTCACCTTGAGGCTGCATCCAATCTCTGCTACTGCTGACCTTGACAAGTGCTAATCTGACCAGGTCATTATTTCCCTAATGAGCTTCATTGGGTCATCATAGAGCGCATGGTTCCCAGCCCAGCAGCCGCATCTTTCTCCCCGTGTCTCAGCCCCAACATCTTCTCCTGGCGTGGCTCCGTCCAAGGACTACTCGAGCATCTTCTGAAGGGCTACCCAAGAGGGGGCTCCTCTTTTGGGCAATCCCTCGGCGCTTCAGAGCTGCTGTCTTCTATGCATCTTTCTAGAGGCCAAGGCTTTAAAACGTGTTGGCCTCTGAACAGCCCAGTGAAAACATACTGTCTGTTGACCTCACCGCACCACACTAAACTGTCATCCATTTACTGGCTTGTCCATCTCTCCACCAGAGCAGAAGCTTCCTGAATCAGACAAATGATTCTGTTTCTTTTAAAGTAAGATGAGGGGCTGGGGAGATGGCTCAGTAAAATAAGTGCTTGCCTGGCAAACACCAGGGCCTGAGTTCAATCCCTGGTTCCGCAATAAAATAAAATAAAATAAAAAATAAAGTAAGATAAGTGAAGTTTTCAAGTATCAACATTAATCTAAATATCACTGCTGACTAATATATGACACATATTATTTATATGACAGTGAGAAAGTCCAGTCGTCACTTTGACAAAAACATACATCTTAGAAATGATAAACTGAAGCTATGAACACAGGCTGAAGGGTAGGCTAAAGAAGTAGTGTAAAAGGGGCTTCAGCCAGAGTGGAGACCTGGTAAGCCAAGCTAGGAAGGAGAGAGCATCAGGCACCCTACTGCAAGCTGGGACACAGAGGTCACTTTCTCACCTGTGATGTGCAGCTGGTGCAGCCTGTGATAGGCCAGGGCTGCATACCGCGCACTGCTCTTAGCCTCGTCCTCAAAGCCAGCTGCAGTGGCTGGGGTGGCTCGCCAGCGCTGGAAGACTTTCTTGAGCAACCAGCGCACCAGGCGCAGCTTCTGCAGGCTATAGCGGATCACATTCCAGGAAAGGCTGCAGGCCAGGTCCAGGCGGGAAGTGGGCAGTGCTCGACCCAAAACCGACAGGCAGGTTTGTAGGTTGGCCGCCGCAGCTGCAAAATCCCCCTGTAAAGCAGTAAGGGTTATTGGCCTTGCTGTAGTCTTTAACAAATTTCTACTCTTCCAATCATTATCAGAACATTACATGCCCATTAAGGAAAATCTGGGAAACACCAGAAACCTATGAGGACAAAGAGTCCAGTACGTAATATTCTCCCGTAGAATCACTGTGAACATTTGAAGTTTTCCCCAGCCCTCTTACTAAACTAAACTAGATTGTACTATGCTCTGTCCTTGAGCTTATGCTGGTCAGAGTTATTCATATCAACTTTTAAATATAAGATGGTAATGTGGATGTCTATGAACTGCATGCTCCTTTAGGCTTTTATGTTCTGAGGTGTGGTCCAGAGGCCAGTAGCACCTGGCCTCAGAAGCATGTTAGAAATGAAAATACTTGGACCCCACCCCAGGCCTACGGAGTAAACCTCTGGGGCTGGCTGATTCTGGTGCCTGCTAAAGTTCGAGAGTCACGGTTTTAGGCAAATTCAGTCAGAGATGGACCACTTGAACCTAGGAGCTGGATGAATGACCCTTGGCCAATGTGTGAGGGTCTCATGGAGCATGTCTGGGGCTACACTGGCAGTGCCAGCCTTTTTCCTTCTCTCCTCTCTTTGCCAAGAGAAGCACAGGAGGCAACTTTCCTGCCCCCTCATCTCTGAGCCACAGTCACCATCACTTTCCATTTTATATCTCAACTATTTCTTCAGTCTGCCTTTTTCTTTCAACTCCAAGTTGTTGCCTTCTTCTCTTACCTGGCTTATCTCAAGAAACTCCTTTGTTTCTGTGCATTTTATGTCGCCTTCCTCTAACCCACCCTATCCTTTACACAACCAGCAGAACAAGTTTCTCTCTCAGACACAGACATGCAGACACACACAAACCTGCTTCTAGGACACCCATCTTGTGGAGAGGACCCCCAATCATATCTGTACTTTGGACTCACAACTTGGCCCTGCATGACTGATCTAAGCTGGCCAATCAGACTTCGAGTGAAAACACTGCAATCTGCAGAGGGAGGCAGAGCAGGCTCACAATCTACTGCTAATGAATGTTCTAGTCCACATGCTTCCTGAGCTGTGTATGCTTAATTCTTCCTTATTGCTGTTTACCACAGAACCCTTCACGTATAAGACCCTTCCTGGGTTCAAACGAAAACTTTCAGGTAATTTTCTTGTTCAAAAATCTTCCCTGGTTCTCCAAAGAACTGGAAGCAAAGCCCTAAATCAGTTACAAGTCAAAGTCCTCTCAAATTTGGGATTATCCGCACTGTTGGCCTTGTCCCATTTCCTTCTGACATACACCACACTCTAGAGACACCCATTAAACTTGCCATCCCCAAGCAGCCTGTCTTCTCTGTCCCAGACACCTCCACTCACACACCAGGGCTCTCAGCCAATGCTCTCTGCCTGACTCCCTCAGCACTCCATTCTTCCTGTCACACACCGACGCAGGTCACCTCATGCACGCAGCCTATCTGTATATGGGGGCCCTCTCTCCTGCTCCTGCCACTAGTCAGGCACAGATCCCTTCTCCTCAGTTGCCACAGGCCTTCAGCCACAGTGGGGACTCACACCTGGGCAAAGAGAGAAAAGGTGGATGACAGAACTCACCCTGGCAAGGTCCACGTCTGCCTGCTTCCGGTGCCGCCAGAAGGTGACTGAGGGGCGTGAGTGTGGCCGGATCACTGGCTCCCCGTGGACCAGCAGCTTCACAAAGACACTCAGGACAATCACACCATTTAGCAACCACAGGAGCAGTGTTGGCATCATCCAGTCAAACCAGCCCCCAGGACCTAAAAAAGGGACAGCATTTGGCTGAGCCTGACATCAAGGAGCCTTCTGCCTCTTTTCCAGTGCTCGGCACCAGAGAGACAAGAGCCATAAAATTCCCAGCCAAAGAGGGTTAGGACACTGGTCTCACGAGTTAGGTGAAGGCACCACATCTGCCCTCAGTCAGGTACCACCCCAGAATCCTCCACTCCCCCAAAAGGGTAATTATTGCAGTGTAGGTTCCTGCTTTGTTTTGTTCTTTCCAACTGAACTTGCGTTTTACCTATTATTTCTAAAATGTAACTTATACCAGTCTCTGTCATAAACAATCAGGGAGTTGGGGTGAGGGATTATTACTCCTTTGGACCTGGTACCTTCACCACGTGGTTTGTACACCGGGCCCTTTTCCCAACACAGCAGTTTACCAACACCTGAGTGGCACAAGGAGTCCCCACCTACCTGATTCGAGTGACAGCACACTGCGGCTAGAGCCTGAGTATGGATGCTGGTCTGAGTCTTGGGCCCCTCCCCACTGCAGCAGAGTAGTCAGGGGGTTAAAGGAGAGGCCCAGGAAGGTGAGAACACACAGCAGAATCCGAGAGCGGTCCACCATGCCCAGGGCTACAGGAGGAGAGTCCGGTTCATCTTTGACCTTCAAAATAGGGCCCCAGGGTTGGAATGAATGCTGCGTGGGTTTTTATAGTATTTTACTTTTACATATGAATCAGGAAACAGACTGTGAGGCTTAAAATTCAAGACAAATAAGCTAGACAAGGAACAAAGCTCGGGGGATTTAAGAGTCCACAATCCACAAACTGTTGCTCAAACACTGGACCATTCTCCCCTTGCCTTCTGAGAAAAGTACATGTTCCAAAGAACAAAGGCAGAGGAATTTTCTTTTAAAATAGACCTCTACCACAAAAGAGAACACACTGCATGGTTCTGTTTCAGTAGAATTTCAGAAAAAGCAAAAGAAATCTGGTGACAGGAAGTGGATGAATCAATAGGGGCCTGATGCTGGAGGGAGAATGAACAATTTACTGAGGTATGGGAAGAGAGCTTTTTGGGGGGACAGAAATACTGTTTCGATCATAGTGATAGTTGTACAAGGATGTATGTGTGTTAAAGCTCCTGGCATTGCACATTTAAAATAGTGTATTTTGTTACATTTAAGTTTTAACTCAACAAATATGAAAGACCATGCTTAGCACGGATCTAGTTGAAGAAATCACCTGCTTTAAAAGCAGAACAGTGCTTTTTTTCCCTCATTTTAAAGAGGAAAAAATAGAGGCAAGGCCCTAACAGCCTAGGAAAGCCACAGGGGGCAGGGAAGAGGGCTGGAGTCAGATTTCTCCTGGGTTTTCATGTGTACACAACATTACACTCCTTTCTAGCATATTAAAACCACTTGAAAATTTACTCTGGTGACTCAGAAGCCTAGCCAATTCAATTTATATGTCACATGGCCTATTGTTACCAAAAAGAATCACATCTATAAAACATTTAAATATTAGAATTTCTTTAGTAAAACTAAGTCTGTAATATAATAAACAGTGTAGCCAAAAACACTAAATCAAACTTTGCCTTTGGAGTCATCAACTGTCAGTGTCAGTACACAGTACAGGATCCAGCGGTCTCTGTAGGTTCCCAGGAAGATCGTTAGGCTCAGAGCCTCTTTTAACTAATTCCATTAAACTTTAATGCCAGGGGCTTTTTTTGACAATTAAAAGCCCTTGGTTGGAATGCTATCTTGTTAGATTGCAAACTGGAGTCATTTCCAGAAAGCAGACCCAGAAGCAGTCTTGCCTTAAACCAACTGATAGGCTCAAAGTGGTCTTGCCAGGCCCATTACAGGCAGGGAGAGGTAATGAGGCGCCTCCAGCAACTCCCAGAGCCTCCAGCCTGACAGCAACTCCCTGTCCCCATTCCAGGTCTGGCACTGGTTCTTCTCTGATGGGTTCTTTTAGCAAGGAACAGTTAAACCTGAGGGCTATAGTCTCCCCCTCCAGATGTTTTCTTTCTTACTCTGCAGGACCTAGCTAATTTCAAATAATCCCCATTCCTCTCCAGACTAGGCCTTAACACCCAACCTGGCCACCACTCTGGGGCCTCCCCATTATTTTCTTTTTCTTTTTCTTTTTTTTTATAAATCAATCTTTTTTTGTTGTTGTTGTTTATTTATTTATTTATTTATTTAGTGTGTGTGTGTGTGTGTGGCCAGCTCAGCCCACCAGGGGGCGGGGCTGGCTGGCATGTGGTGCTGGGGGATTGAACCGCGGTCCTTGTGCTTTGCTTAGCTTAGCTTGTTCTAAGTAGGTGCTTTAGATCACTGAGCCATCTCACCAGCCCCCCATTATTTTCTTAGGGATGAAGAGGAAGATTCCAAGGGTCAGGAGATTACAAACACCTGTACCTTTGCATCATCCAAAAGAGGACTTCCAGGCTCAGAGTCAATGGAGTACGGGGAGAAGCCAGCCTGAGATCCTGAGTCAGAGGCTGGGGGGGACATCAGAAGGACATTTTGATTAAAGTCATCGATCTTCAGGTCCACGTCGTTATCCACCAGACTGCCTAGGTCGATGCCCTTTAGGAGCTCTGGAAAGAAAATTCAGCTGGGTTAGGACTGGGCTGGGCAGTGCTGGAGCAGGCCTCAAACACATCCATAGGTCTCCTATACCCATTCTCTACTGACACCCCCTTCTCAGTGAGCACTTACTGTTTTTCTGATTTGCCAGCTTTAGTACCATGTTCTCTTGACGCAGTTTATGATTCACCTGTTGTAAGTATTTGATGTAATCAATAGCCTTCCTTAGAACGCCAGACTTGTGCATCTGGGAAAGACAAGCAAAACAGAGTGAAAACCAGTGTAAGCCAGACTGGAGAGAAACAAACCCTGAGTATGTGCGTATAAACCATGGTGGGGGTACAAGACTTGGTTCACATGCTAACTACTTAGGACTAGATACTCCCTACCTCTGAACCTCATTTTCCTCCTCCTAAACACAGAGATAAGGACAGCAAGTGAATCTCAGCCTGGCAATGAGGGCTAAATGAGACAGAATGTGTAAAGAGCTTAGCCCCAAGCCTGGAGCATAACTGACATACAAGTGTAGCTACTGTTCCTACTTCTTATAATATAATCTGAGAACCAAAACTATCTTTAAACTAATGACAAAAAACATAGCACCGGCCTGGGGATATAGCTCAGCAGCATAACTGCCTGCCTGGCAAGTGCAGGGTCCTGAGTTCAATTCCCAGTACCAGAAAGAGGAGGGGAGGGGAGGGGAGGGAAGAGGGGAGGGAAAGGGAGGGGAGGAGAAGAATAGAAAAGAAAAAAGAAAAAACAGCAGAGGGGCAATGGTCGGGCAGGCAAGGCAATGCCACGTCACTTGGCACCTACCTTAGCATCTGTCCCCATGACCAGATCCTTCAACTCGATGATTTTGTCATTGATGGAGGAACGATATCGCTTCTCAATGATATTATGTGTTGTCCGCCTCTCTCCTTCTTTGGGGGGCTCGAGCTGCTTGACGCCCCCAGGCACCTGCTTAATGGGCACTTTCTCCTGCCCCATCATCACAGGCATGGTAGTGAGAATGGTGCCACTGCTGCCCACCAGGGTCTAGAACGGGGCAGAATTACGCCTTTGTTAGTCTGCGTCAAGCAACGTCACACCACAAAGTTGCTTGCTCTGGGTGGTGTAGCATCACCTGGCCATGCTGTGGGTCTGGGACCCTCCTGGGATAATTGGCGAAGGCCTCCAAGGCCTGGGAGCTATAGCACCTCAGTTACTACCTCTCTTGGAATCGCTGTTGAGGAATTATGTGATTAGAGGATTAATATGGCTATGTCTTAACTTTTGATCTAGGGTGTCAGAAACTTGAGAGCTTTGCTTTGTTGCCAAACTGCTAACTGCCTCTGAACCCACACTCAGTGTACCAAACTGCACCTAAGACAACCTTCTCCTGGTATGAGATCCAGTTTTCTCTCTCAAATGACAATTAAATAAATTACTGTATTTCTTCTTACATTTTGCCCATCAAAGAGCTTCATGGCAGAACTGACACTCTAAATCAGAGCCATTTTATTAAATAAATAGGCCAACCACAGAGGCTTTCTCTTCTATTCCCAGCTCTGCTTTCCTGTTTTTATTTTTGTGTTTACTAATTTTAGTTAAATTTTCCTCATCAAATGAGTTCAATATCCAAACAGCCAATAAACAAAAACAATGCTCAACTTCTTTAGCTCTCAAGAAATAATTCATGAGGGTTAGAGAGATAGCTCAGAGGCATAAGCACCTACCTGGCAAGCACAAGGACCAGAGTTTGATCCCTGGCCCCACATGCTGTGTGCTCTCGGCCCTGGATGCCCGGGTGCCCAGCTTGTGGCCCAGAACCGGGCATGGTGGCACACTCCTGTAATCCCAGCACTCAGGAGGTTGAGCCAGGAGGGATCTCTGCAAGTTCAAGACCAGCCTGGGGGCTACAAAAGTGAGCACCAGGCCAGCCTGAACTGCACAGTGAGATCCTATGTTTAAAAAAAAAAAAAGGAAAAAACAAAAAAGGAAGAAATAATTCATATAAAATAGAAACCGTAAGTCTTAACTTTAGGCTTTGATGAGGTTTTTGTCTATGTGTACAACATGCAGAGCCACATAGGCTAAGAAACCCTCTTCTCTTAGAAGGCTCCCTCATGTTACCTGGCTCCCCCATCACAGCTCTGATGCGATGTGTACTGACTTTTAGTCACTACGGCTAAACCTTTTTTTTTTTTTTGTCTGTTCTTTTCAGACATGGTCTCACTATGTAGCTCAGGCTAGTCTTGAGCTCACTTTGTAGCCCAGGCTGGTCTCAAACTTGCAATGATCCACCTGCCTCAGCCTCCCATGTGCTAGGATTACAGGTGTTCTTATACCTGGCTTATGGCTAACTTCTGACTTTTTAAAATTTTGAGACGGGGTCTCACTCTATCTCTAAGTTGTCCAGGCAGTGCTCAAATTTTCGATCCTTCTGCCTCAGCCTCCCGGAGTGCTGAGATTACAGGTGTAGACCACCATACCTTGCCTGTTCTTAAACCTCACATTACTGGAATGAATTCTCACTGTGAACTCTTGGACTATTTCTGAGGTTCTGCTGTATTTTATGCAAGTCTTTTTTCTCATTGCTGGGCACACTTCACTTTCAGTGTATGAATACATCTTAAATCTATTCTGTGGATGGACATTTCCGTTGTTACCAGTTCTTGCCTTTTATGAACAAAAAGAATAGTTTTAAATATTATCACCTTCTTTTTTTTTCCTTAAACATCAGACTCCTGTTAAAAGGGTATGACTCCGCAACAAAAGGATGAATACCTTCCCCATCTCTCTAGGGTCAGAAGCCACACCTCAATATCAGGACATGAAGCGATGGCCCTATGTGTTCAGAGCTGTTGCCCAGGAACCGCCGGTGTGTCAGTACCTGCAGCTCCCAGGACTCCCATCTAACACTGGAGGGCTTCTTCAAGGGAAAACAACTAAAAGTGGGATGATCCAACCAGAATATTCCTTAGACCTTCCAGTACTTAACTGGCATGTAGACTTGAACATGTCTAAGGACTAGTACTCCCAAGAAAGGAGATGGAGTGAACCCAGGTCGGGGAGAAGGCAGTGCTTACTGGAACTTGAAGGGCAGCTGTCTGGATGGGGGTGGTGAGGGCAGTGAGGGCCGGGTTCTGGACTGCAGCCATGACAGGGCTGCCATCTGTCTTCAGTGTGGTCAAAACAAGGGAATCTGTCTTGATGATCTGAGGCTGGACCAGGACCTGAATGAAGAAAGAAGAAAAGGAAAAGGAAGGGAAGATTATTTTTTTTTTAATTTTGCTTTTGTTTCCTATTACAGGCCATCCAAGCAAGAGCAAGAAAATACCATTTTCATGAAACTGAGAATCAGAACAGATCACAAAATCTCACAGAAGCCATGTCAAAAGCTGGCTATTTTGTACACCTGAACACTGGGTAGGGGGAGAGACAAGCCAGCTGCCTCAAAGGACCTGGGGATTGGGTGGCGGGGGAAGGCAGGGGGCTGAGTTGCAGGGGATGGCTGAGCAAGAAAAATTTGACTTTGGACAGACTTGGGAAGGCCAGGAATGTGGCTGAGAAGTAAAAAATGGTACAGCTATTTTTCACTGCTGTAATCCCAGCACTCTGGGAGGCTGAAGCAGGAGGATCATAAATTTGAACCTAGTCTGGGTAACTAAGTGAATTAATATGACCTTTAACAAACAAAAAAAAGGACAGGGATGCAGCTTGGTGCAAAGGCCCCGGTTCAATTCCCAGTGCTGGGGGTGGGGTGAGGATATGTATTACTTTGTTAGGAAGAAAATAAAATTTATTTTTTCTGACTGTAAACATAATATAAGCTGCTTCCTAAAAAAATAATGCTTAACATTCACTTCAGAAAATAAGGAAAGCAAAAAATTACACAGACGAAAATCATTTGAGACCTAGAATTTGGTGCCTTTCTTTCCAGTTTTACAGTTATGACATGTTAGCAATTGCTACCTTAGCCCTTCCCAAGCATGTGTGGGTACAGTCCGAGATCTCTGCATGTGGTTGTGTGCACCCCAGGATCTAGATGCCCCAGCAGCCCTACAAGGTGCTCCATGCACTCACTGATCTGTGCTTCTTAGTATGCAAGAACACACCTTCAACCAAGGACTGGCCAACAGCCCAACCAGTACCCCCTTGACTCCACTGCAGCCACATACCGGGACCTGCTGCACCTGGGGCGCGGCGACTGTCTGCACAGTGGCGGGGGCCAGGGTCTGCAGCGTGCCGTTGGCTGTTTGTGTCAGCACCCGCTGGGCCTGTACTGTCTGCACCTGCTGCTGGATGGTGACTGGCTGCACCTGGGAGGAGGTCACCAGGCTTTGGACTTGAGGCTGAAGGACTGAGGGCAAGAGGAGAAAGAAGTCACATGGATGAGGAATGCAGACTGTCATGGTAGCTGCAGCAATAACCAGAGGATGGAGTACCTCATAAAGACTCCAACTCCCCACCTGCTGCTGAAAAGACATGCGCAGCCATTTACAAGCTGGTTTAGAGAGGAAGAGCAACCCTTAAGGGCTATAACAACTTCTGAGGGAACAAGTACAAATCGTTTTATTGCTCTCGGTGCTCTGGTGGGAGTAAGGGATGCTAATCGGCAAATGACTGCACCCAGCAACAGAGTTAATAGATGTTGAGAATCAACAACTCCCGGGTTATTTCCTCCCATTCTTTCTGCATGGAAAATGTGCAGTGTTTTGCCTTTCTTCCCCTCCTCCTTCTGGAAATTATCAAGAGTCTTTCAAATTCCAAGCAATGCTTGTCCTGCCCAGGGCTCCCCACAGTCACTGGGACGAAGTACATCACAAGGTGAATGTATGCTCACAAAGACAGCGCTTCAGTCACTCATCAAGGCCCACTGAAGGCCCGCTGTGAGCCCTGGCACTCAGACACAGCACCCTTCTTTTTTGGTGGTGGTGGTGGTACCGGGGATTCAATCCAAGCCCTTGCACCTGGTAGGCAAGTTCTCTACCACTGAGCATTATATATCCCCAGCATTATTTAAAAACAAGGTCTCATTAAATTGCCCACATTGTCTTCAAATTTGGAATCCTGCTTTAGCTTCCCAAGTAGCTGGGATTGCAGCAACTGCTGCACACCTAGCTCGCAGCACCTATTTTATCATTATTATTATTATTATTATTATTTTGTGGAACCAGGGATTGAACTCAGACCCTTGCGCTTGCCAGGGAAGTGCTTATTCTACTGAGCCATCTCCCTGGCCCTGCAGCACCTATTTTATTTATTTATTTATTTATTTATTTATTTACTAGCACCTATTTTAAAAGCTGTACTCATGTGCACAATGTTAGCTCAGGAGCTGTTTGGTGAATGAATGGTCCTCACCTGTGAGCGCCTGATCCTTGTACAACTTAGCCAGGTTTCAGGCCTAATTTTATTCAAGACTGTGACTAGTTTTATTCAGGACTGCCCCTCTAGTTATCAGGATGTTCCTGCGTCTACAGTGCTGGTTGGACTCTGGTTAAGTACCCCTGAAGTAGGCCCAACAGGTATTGAGGTCTCTAAGCAAATGGAGTGTGAGCAAGCCTCTATCAGTTTGTCCCACCAAAGACCAGAAACTCATTCAGACAGGACCAAATTGATACACTCTGTCATTCGCAAAGAGGACCAAACTACCCACAGTGGTACAAGCAGGTACACAACTCTAGAACCAATAGTGGCACATTTGACCTCTGAATCACCTTGAAAGCTGGTGGCTGCATTCTGGTATATCAGAGGCTGCTGAATGATCCGCGTCTGAGGTGCAGTACTGAATGTTGGGGTGATCATTACTGTCTGCTGCTGCAGCTGGGCTGGAGGCTGGGGCTGGGGCTGGGGTCGAGGCTGGAGAACAGGCGTTGTCCTTGGTGGGGTAGGAACTGTGGTAGGAGGGACTTTGACTTGCAGGGCTGGAGCCTGGGGTGAAGGAGCCGGAGGTGAAAAGGAAGATAATGGAACCTGGCTGAAGGACCGCTGCACAGAGGGTTCCACGGCCCCACCACTGCTGCCCCTGCCATTGTTGCCACTGCTGTTGCTGCTGCCATTTCCGCTGCCACTGCCACCACCTCCACTGCTGCCACTGCCACCTCCACCAGGGAAGGAGCCACACAGCTGCTCTGAAAACAAGTCAGGGAATTCTCCCACTTGATTGCTGACAAACTGCAACATTTCTGTGAACAAAGGAAAAGGAGTAATTTTATTGCCACATAAGATATTAACTTTCAGATCTGCTTAAGAAACTGAGGCATAGAGCCTGGAAGTATAGCCTCCTGGTAAAGCACTGCCTAGTATGTGCAAGGCCCTGAATTCCAGAGAGCAAGAGAACCAAACAACTGAGGCATGAAAACCCAATGGCTTTTCCAAAACCATGGCTGAAAGAGGGTGAGACACCGAGGCAGAGGCAGACAGTCACTGCTCCAAGGTTTTGGAGTACATCAGCCCCAGCCCAGGAGGCCACCTCCAATCTCAGTACTGCCTGCAGAAGCAGCAAAGGAACCATGTAGGTCTGCTACACTGGGCCGGACCCCTCCCTGCCCTAACCCCTCCTCCCATCAAGGGGCAAGCTCTGGGCCTCCTCTTCGACAATGGCACAGCCCTGGGTGCCACTGGTGTCCTCAAAAGCCCCAGGGAAAACAAAGTTGACGGTCCCCAAGTCAAAGATTTTTAGGGGTAAAAAGGAGAGAAAGTTCATGTATCAAATCCAAAATAGGGAAATAACTCAACCAAGGTCTCACAGTTCGTGAAGACACTGCCAAGATGAGAGCCAGTTCTCTGCCGCCCACTCCACTCCCCGCTCGCCTCAGGCCTGCACTGGCCAGAACACTTCTCTTTGCAGGAGAAGTCTGCAGGGCCAAGGGGCTGTGTCAGCCTGGAGACCCCCTAAGCCCTCAAATCTCTACCTCTTCCCTCCTCTCAAAGGCATATGTGTCCCACCCCAGCCTACTCCATGGCTAACAACTCATCTCCTGGGACTCCTTTCTCCTCTTCTTTTTTTTCTGGCTGCCCCAGGGACCTCAGCGTTATTCCACTTATTTTCAGATCTGTAACTGTCCACTTTTGCTCGGTCTAACACATTTCCAAGAAGCTTTGGCTTGTTATTATTATCATTATTTTTTTTAAATTTATTTTATTTATGTGTGTGTGTGTGTGTGTGGTCAGCTCAGCCCACCGGGGGCGGGGCTGGCTGGCATGTGGTGCTGGGGGATTGAACTGCGGTCCCTGTACTTTGCTAAGCTTGTTCTAAGTAGGTGCTCTTTTAGACTACTGAGCCATCTCACCAGCCCCTTGTTATAATTTTACTTTTATTATTTTTTTTTTTATTAGTGTATGTTTGTTTGTGTCTTTGTTTTGGCCGGCTCAGCTTGCCCTAAGAGCGGGGCGGACATGGCATGTGGTGACAGGGATTGAACCAAGGTCCCCTGAGCCTGCCTAAGCTTGCCTAAGCAGGCGCTTTAGACTGCTGAGCTATCTCACTGGCCTTGGTGTATGCTTGTGACTCATAATAATGACACTAATTTTGGGGAGATGGCACATATATATACGCTGCCATCTTAATCATTTTTACTTCTCCTATCTCCCCCAACCCTGGTCCCCTTCCTATTTCTCTACAAAACTACCTACCTGCTTCCTATCATTTATTTTTTATTTTCCTTTTTATTTATATATTGGGCTTTTCAAATAAGACAAATCATGTGATATTTTAACCTGATGGGTGTAATTTATTTCACTTAAGGATTATAGTTTCAATTTATATTCCTTTTCCTGTGAGTCTAAATTGTTCTTTATGGCCCAGTAGTATTCCATGATGTATGCACACATGCACACAACACCCACTTTCTTTATCCATTTATCTGCTGATGGACTTATTCCTCCAAAATTTAACTATTAAGAGTTGTGCTGGGGGCCTGGCCCTAGCTCAGGCCTTTAAGTGGCTGCTTCCACAAAGCTGTCAGCCTCAGGTTGCTGGAGTTCGAACCTCACACCTCTCCCGCTGGCCAAAAGTGCCCTGAAGGCATTCGAGCAACAACAACAACAAAAAAATCCTTATAAGGGCTGGTGAGATGGCTCAGTGGTCTAAAGCACCTACTTAGAACAAGCTTAGCAAAGCACAGGGACCGCGGTTCAATCCCCCAGCACCACATGCCAGCCAGCCCCGCCCCCTGGTGGGCTGAGCTGGCCACACACACACACACACACACATACACATAAATAAATAAAATTTAAAAAATAAAAAGAACAAGAGTTGTGCTGCCAGGGCCAGGGAGATAACTCGGAGGTCTAAGCACCTGCCTTGCAAGCTCAAGGACCTGAGTGCAATTCCTGGTACCACAGGTTGTACTGGGCCTGGAACCGTATGCATGCCATGCTGGCCATATAAACCAGGCATGGTGGTGCATGCCCGTAATCCCAGCACTGAGGAGGCTGAGATAGGAGGATTACTATGAGTCTGAGCTGTGTAGTGAGACCCTGTACCAAGTAAATAAATAAAAGATTTTTAAAAATCCAGAAGAAGAGTTGTGCTGCCATAATCATGGGGATGCATGTATCATAATATAATATGTTTTTAATTCTTTCTGGAAGATGCCTAGAAGACATATGGGTCAAATGGAATTTAGATCAAACCAGGTCAAACAGAATTTCTATTTGCCACTGCCTGTTCTTAAGATGTGGTCCCCTTTCTCCAAACTTTTAAGGACACAGGATGCAACAACAAAAACCAACCAACACAAAAAAACACTATTTCTGTTCATTTCCCAAACCTGCAACAGCTCTTCCCTTTCAGGTTTCTGATACTGTGGGATACAGCAGGCAAGGGAGTGGGGACGGGGAGGAAGGGAGGGAGGAGACAGTGTAGGAGGTATGTGGGGTAATGAACAGTTATATGTTGGGCAAGCAGAATGCTGCTGTGAGTTTCTAGCGTGGCCTCCATATGGGCTAACTGGAGCTTAGCAATTCAATTTAAGCAGCATAAACACTGTCAGTTCAATGTGCTGGGCAAACCAGGGTTTCAGCAGACTAAATCCCTACAGTGGTACATCCTACCAGTACCCTGCCTCTCTGCTCTGCCCTCACTTAACCTGTTGCGTATGGGAGGAAGAAGTGGCAGATTTACACATATTGCAACTTGTACCAATCAAGTCCAATTCCAGATTGTAAAAAGCTTTAAGAAAATGATCAAGAAACAACTAAATCGCCATACAATTCCAACTCTGGAACATGAACACTGACAATCAAGTCTACTTTTTTCTGTTTCCGCTACTTATTTATTTATAACTCTACTTTTTCAGAGGCCCTCAGCGACACCTGTTTTCTCCATGGAAAGCTGAAGAGAGCAGAAAAAGAACAGCGGAGATGCGAGTCTCTAGAGGCAGCCCGGGTAGCTGTGCAAATGTGGCCAAGCTACTTCCCCTTTGCCTCAATTTCCCCACCACAGAAGGTTGTCTGGAGAGTACACAGCAGGCTTCTCTGCTCTGAAGATTAATAAGATCATGAATGCAAAGTGCCTGGTGAGGGGCAGGCCTTAGGGAGCTCCCTACTAGTGCTGCATCTACAGCACCTGCTGCATAGGCACTTGGACCCACTTATTTCGTCTCATCAAGTACTCTCAAAACCCTTCTGTGGGGGAAGACATGGGCTGGTGCGCAAAGGTCACAAAGCTTAGCTCACAAAGCTGGGTTAAGTGTGTAGGCTGATGGAATGTGACTGCTTTAATTTTAAAGAAAAAAAAAAGCCTCTCAGCCCCCACACAGAAAGCTCCGGTGGAGCCATCTCCACTCAGCCAGGCAGTGGAGCCAGGAGTGGGGCTTGGCTGAGTGGTACAGAGGGCCTGTTAAAACGAGCACCTGCAGGAAGGGCGAGGTGAGCCTGCAGAGGCTCTGCTCTGGCAGGGCGGGTGCAGCACATGAGCCCTTCGGGTCCCCATTCGGCTGCAGTGCCAGAGGACAGGAGGCCTGGGGCAGGTCCCAGGAGGGGTCAGTCTCTAACTCTGAGCTCCACCTTGTGGGAGCATCCTGATGCCTCTTCACTGTGTTGTGCCCTGATCATTCGGGCTCTGCAATTACACAGCTCTCAATTCAGCAGAGGGCCATGAAACTCAGAGAGGGAGGCCTGGGAGAAGGTTTATGGAGCTTTGAAAATGAAATTCAGGTTCTTGCTGCAGTCCACAGAGCCCAGGGCCAGATAAGGCTTCCTAGAAACTGGGCCGACGTGCTCAAGCTCACCTCACTTCCCCTTCAAGTCACATTTCTGCTTTTAGCTGACTCTTAAACTTACATGTAAGTTGCTTAATGAAGTATATAGGGCTTCAACTTTATCTGGGTCCTGCCTCTTTAAAAGCAAGCAACCAAAATTAGAGACTCTGCTCACCATCCATGCAGTAAGAAGCGCTGTGCCTCATGCAAGAAGAGCCTAAGTTTTTTTTTTTTTTTTTTTTTTTTTTAGAACTGGGGATTGAACTCAGGGCCCTGCGCTTGCCAGGGAAGCGCTTATTCCACTGAGCCATCTCCCCATCCCGTCCCCCCCCCACCGAAGTTTATGGAGCATGTGACCTACAGGTAACAGAAGTCACTTTGTCCAGCTCAGTCTTGCAGCATCTATGGACTGTAAGATAACCTGAAATCTGGTTGGATTAATTTTGCCGAGGAATAAAGAGTCCAAAGCTCCTAGATGGGGCAATCATTTCTCCAAACTGCAAGGTGAGTCAATAATTCTTAGTAGTATTTGTTAGCTACTGTCAGCCAGCCTTGGTAGCAGTGGTAGTGGTGGGGAGTGGTTTACAAAGGTCATTTACTTTTTTTTTTTTTTTTTTGTGGAACCGGGGATTGAACTCAGGCCCTTGCACTTGCCAGGCAAGCACTTATTCTACTGAGCCATCTCCCTGGCCCTCATTTACTCTTGTAGTTTGTATTCATTATGCACTTTGTTACACAACCATATTTGCAATTTTTAAAAAAGACTGTAAAACAAATAACTTAGAAAAGTATAAATAAGAACAAAAATAAAGACCCAGCAATGCCTCTGTCCTTCGATGCCCATAATGCTTTCCCGTGTTCTTTTAGACCTGCTCCTACACAACTCTTGTTTGCACACACAAGTATGCACCTATGTGCAAAATGGTGTTCAAAGATGGCTCCCACTTAACATGCTAAATATCCCCTGCTGCTTGCTTAAT